CTCTTGATTTCCCTTCTTTTAACAATCCTTTATGCTGGTTTACAGCCCTGCACGCTGGGGAGCCAGCTCTCTGCTGCCAGTGACTCTTGTTACAGTACCAGGGAGGCACACATGTTGTCCATTTCTTCCAGGTGCATTTTTTATTCAAGTCCCACTGAAATCAGGGGAAGAAGTTTTGGAGTGTTGGATCAGAATCCAGTATTTTCAAACCTTTTGAAATTAAATGAACCCTACAGTTTGTTAAAATGGAGATGCTGGAAATGAGTCTACACCTAGCTAGATGGGGTTTGAGACAGGATTTTCTGCGGTCAATGCAAGCAAACTTGACTTGCTACTCTTCTCTTTTGGTTATGGCACAAGTAACACCATTTTAGAAACTCTTTGGAATTTCCCATTTGAAAGTTTTCAACAAAATGCTGTAGGCATATACAAATAACAGCAAGATATTCTTCCAGGTTGGGCTAGTGAGTGAGCATTATCTAGCCTCATCCACTCTCAAAAGTCACCTTTATATAACAGCTACTATTGGCTGACAGGCTCTCACAATCAACAGCTCAACTTCCATTTTCTGAGTTTTCTGAGAACTTTTCATAGGCAATTAACATGCAGTTTTAGGGAAGGTGACCAGGATTGTGTTAAATACTCTAAGCTTCAAAAAAAGTGTTAAACATAAGATTATTTTCAAGTAGATAACATAACTTGGACATGGCCAACAGTTTTAAGTGTCGTTTGTAGCACGGCAATCCTTTGCTTTGAACATAATATTCAAGAATACCATGGTGGATCATTTCAGTCCTTTACCACGATATCTGCATTTTCAGGCATGTGGTTTGGTATCTAATGCTTCCTCTGCCACAGGACTTGTTTGGGTCAGTAAAACATTATACAGTAACATGGCAGCAATTCTGATTTTTGTGACTATCATCAGCCAAAGGATTTGGTATTTTCTATATTGCTCAGGTAACTCAGACGTGTCAAGAAACAGAACCATTTTGCAATTCCAGCCTACCCTAATGCCTCTCTGTATTCCTTACAGATGCTCTTCTATTACGCTTTATACATTTTAGAAGGAAAACATCTGACATTTTATGAGGAATGGCCCTAGTAGCAATGTAAAGTGTGAGTCTAAACCAGAAAGTTTTAGATCTTTAGTTTTCCTTTCTATAAGGCCTCTTTTCTTTTGCTTAGGCATCCACATTTTTTCCAACATTTTAAAAATGTTGTATGTATTTATGGTGGAATTTTCAAAGCCACCAAGAGGATTTGGATGCCAGAGAGCTGCTCTTTTTAATGAGATCTGAACATCCAAATCCATACACAGATTGAATATACATTAGGTTTTGTGTATGTGCTAGCAAACAGCTAGCAGAGCTAGCAGCTATGCAACACCCAAAAGAATACTCAATTTGATTCTGCAACACCTTAGTCATTCCAACCAGATCATCTACAGGGAACTAAGCCACACATGCCATAGGGAGTTGGTTCTGTTGTGCCAGATACTAAGAGCAAGAAGCTGCAAAGCTATTTCACTTGCAAAGCAAGCCAAATTCTAAATATAAGCCTCCCACCACAGTATATTCAATTACAATTGCCTCCTATTCCAATTAGTGTTTTTACAAGACTTCAGGGAACACCACTCTTCATTCTCAGCCAGCTAGTGCCAGTTCCCTCCCCACAAGGATTCCTCTGTGTCCTTCACCTCCATGGGGCTGGTTTTCAAGGAGCGATGTAGTCAGCACACATTGGGACGAGGTCTAATCCCAATGGCCCCGCATGCCTACGATGGCCAACTAGATTGCCAATTGGCCTTCAGCTTCATGAGCTGTAGAAATACAAAGCCCTACAAAGCACAATCATCAGCCTGGTGCTAGCTGATGTTCTAGTAGCATTTTTTGTCAGGGCAGCATTTTTTGGCTTATAGGTCCACCAAAGAGAAGAGTTAAACATAGTTCTTCAAGAAGCTACACGTCAGTTAAAAAAGTGACATACAGCACAAAGAACTGATGGCAACCAAATATAAATGACAGTAGGAATCAGCAGTGTAATAGACTTAGCAACAAGGATCCATTTTAATCAGAACTATTTCTATCTGAAACTGCTTTAGGAACAATTCTTGTCTTCAGCTGAAGATAAAATACAAACTAAATATGGACTTATGTAGGTAACTTGTGGTTTTAGTATCATTTTAGAAAATATGTGTATATATATTTTTATAATCTGTAAATGATGGATTCCCTAAAAATATGACAGTTTTTCCTCTTTGCACAGGCGTCTGCTTGAACATCAATTTAATGATTACTACTGGTAGATGGAATTTTGATATCCATTTGGTAGTGATTTATACCAGTGTTTTCAAGGCTGCCAAAAAGCAAATCCAGAAGGCAGGCAGCCAAAATTCCAGAAGAGACAACTGTCTTTTATTTTATAGCTTATGCATTTTGAGCTTAATATGATTTTCCACTCACAAGTTCTGTACCTTCTCCAAAGTGCTAAAACTGGTGTGCAGAATTGCAAAGCAACACAGCCTCTTCAAGGCAAGCTAATATAAAACTTGTGGTAAATTATAGAAGTTACAGTGTTTACTTAGGGAAAAAACAGTAAGGTTAAAGAACGACACGTGATTTATTGCAGACACTTGTTTCAGTGGTGACATTTTAAAGTTTGATTATATATGAAACAACAATATAACAGCTAAATGTTGTTTCCCGTTTCATACAGAATGAGCAAATACATGAGACATGGAAAATGTTCCTTTAACACTGAAGAGGAGCACAAAGTATCTTTTCAGAAAGACATCAAAACAAGCTGCATTTGAAGGAGCAAAACCGGCACAAACAGAAACAGGTTTTTCTCACTTGTGAAGCAGAACTATAGGAAGTGGGCACACATCAGCATGGTGAGGTTCAAATGTTGTGCTAAATATGATGACTGAACGCTTTCTAATGCTAATAGTATTCCATCTGCAACAGCAGTATTAGTGAAGAAAAAGCTATTCATCCATTAGCTTAGACTCTATACATGAAAGGAGGCCCTAGCTACCACTTCATATCCATCAGTGTGAAAGATCATTTTTGCTGTGTAAAGCATTTATTCTTCCACTGATCACCTATTGTTAAGATGACCCCTATCAGGACAGTATGTGTTCATTGCTCCTCAGAGCAATAGCTGCCATTTGACCATCACCACCTGAAACTAACATCAGATTAGCTGAGTTGTTGACTATATAGAAAGGGTAGTTCTGTGTGCCACGTGTGCCTCCTGGGACTATAACTGCACAGAACTGAACACCACAAATAACACCTCTCATTCTATTAGAAATTACAAGTTAAGACATTTAAGTAAAAACCAAACAGACTGTAGACAGCATAATGTTAACAGGTGGATAATAACATTAATTCTGAAATAATGGCCTTAAACTGATAGCCCACGTTCAGATCTGAACTGGGAATCACTCCTCCTCTTTGCTTTTCTCTTCCTTGCACAGGTTTTTGTCTGACTATAAAACTTCTCATCCTGTCTCCTTTCTTAGTAACACTGCGATCCCAATGAATTCCTGAGCTCTCATTTCATACTCCACGGCAGTACAAAGAACAAATGACAGCTTTAAAAGAAGCACTCTTGCATAGCAGCATGGATCCTGTTGCATGATAGTACAGTGCAGGTGTAGCCTGAGAAACAGGATCTTATTCAAAGACAGGTTATGAGCCCACAGACTGCAAATCCTGACACATGTGACTGAGGAAATTACAAAAGCCGCTGCACGCATGATGCTGATCCCACAAGATCACTCAGTCTAACCGCACTGTACGCTTTCCCTCCACCTGTTATGACTTGTGCTATACCTCTGGACACGCCCAACTTCTAACAGATTCCCGGGCACCAATTAGACCCTTCCCTGTAGCCCAGTTTTAATACATGTGATGCAGAAGACTTTTAAATATACACTGCAGAGAAACCAGAGTTACTCTAGATGTACTTTCTGTGTATTTTATTGATCGGATACAACATACAAGCATACACAGCGGTATAGGGATGTGTATGTGTCTGGATACACATACATACACAAAACGCCATATGTATGATACATACAACAAACAAGGCCAGATTATCTGGTCTTGCAGAGATATGCCCAGCACAAGACCAAAGACCAGGGTGGAGGCATACAAACCCTTCAGAACTGTAACACTGTCTGTTCCTACAGACCAGGCCAGCTTCTGTAACAGGACAGAAATACAGTATCTATTTTAGATCTGATAATAGAGAAGATGTTTGCTTTTATCTTACCACTAGCTATTTTGTTTTCCAACAGTGATCCATTATTATTCAGATAATCATGATTCACTGGCTTTACACCAGGAGATAAACGAAAGGTGCATAGAAACCGTTCAGTGTGACCCCAGAGCACAAAAATAGCTAATGAAGCCCACCAGGGAGCCATGGCAGATGATGAAACTGCACTACGCCCATTGCACTGTTGGGACCCAGAGGCTGAGATGTGAGAAGTCTGGGAAAACACAAGGAAAGCGCTGGACGGGAATCCTTGCTTTATTCTTTGCCCACCCCCAAACCTGCCATACTTGCACAGCTCTCTAGTAGCCTCTTCTAGTACCACCACAGAAGCAGTCAGAACCCACCAGCACACTAATAAACTTTTTCCACAGTAAAGAATCACTACCATTAATTTGTTATTGACATATTTTATGAGAAAAACAGTAAAATTGGTCAAGTTGTTATGAGGCAACTGGCTGTGTGATTTACATAGGAAACCACAGCTGCTGGGAGCTGAAAGAGGAGAAGCCTCATGGCCTCACAGTGTATTCTGGGAAGAACAAAATGGATAGTTACCAAGTTTGTGGCTATTTTATATTTTAACTTTTTCCGCTCATGAAAACGAAAGAATACTGGTGATATAGCTCTGACAGGCATATTTTCCTTGTTAAACAATAACAAAATACATTTTAAGTCATATTTTTTAACCATAAACTACTCAGTTAAATAACCTAGATCTGAATGTCTTCCTCTGTTGCAAGTTCATGGCTTGGATCAATAAGACATGTTCCTATCATTCTCCAGTCAGACATTACTGGAGAAGCAGTAGGCGTCTGCATAGTAAGTAAAGAGAGAGAAGGAGAAAAACTGGGTGTCATGGTTGGTGGAGGGTATTCAAGATTATGGATAAGGGGAGAACGAGGGTATTTTTTAAATGCTTGCCCTGCTATTATATTTGTTGCTTGAGATGGCACTGTCCTTACACCAGGCTGAGCTACTGATGTTATCAAGGGAGGAGGGAAAACAAGTGATTTCTTCTCCTCAGAGAAGCCACGAATGTGTACATTTTCATCTTTCAGTTTTGCAATATCACTAAACACTGAGGCAAGAGGTTGAAATCTGGGTTCCCAGCTGAGCACATAATCCCAGTTATAACCACCTCTGAGATCCTCATCAGAGTTGCCAAGACCTGCAAGCGAATCATACCCAGAGTCCTGCCCATCTGACATCAAGACATACTCTCTTGTGAGGTCTATCATCATGTCTGTCTCTTTTATCCGAGTTTTCTTAAGTGTTTGAGACAACAATTTATGTGTGTAGGCTGTGTCACAGGCTTCTTCTCTGTCTTCTCCTCTAATGGCCTGCACGCTCTCTGTGCTCTGCGTGGTAGCCACGACACCCGTTTCTCCACACTGACAGGATTGCTGATCAGACTCTCTTGGGATCCCCGAATCTGGCACCCATGAGCCACACTCACTGAGCGCTGAGCCAGTGTTCTTTCTGCAAGGATGCTCATTGATCCTTTTGATTTCCTCGTCCTCTGCAGTTTCTCCTTCGGTAGAACCGTGGCCACTGGAGTCTGAATGCCTGCAGGGGACACCATCATCCTTCCCCTCTCCTGAAAGCCTGCAGGGGACACCATCACCCTTCCCCTCTCCAACTCCTGCTAGGCTCAGCCACTCTGCTATGGCACCCACTGGAAACATACTGCTCTCAGTACTTTGGATTTTCTGGCAGTCCTTATACTCACTGGCTGCATTCACATCAGTAGCTGAGGAGGATACTGCTTCTTTTCTCACACAAGATTTCATCAGATTTTTCCACTTACGTCTCAGAATAAGTGCAATAAGACTGACCGCAAGCAGTATGAACACGATGAAGACGACCGAAACACTAATGGACAGGCCGTATGCTGACACTATGGGATAACTCTGAGGAGAATTGGAAACATTTACCAGAACAGTGCATACTGTGAATTTTGACTTCATTTTCGGGCTATGAGCTCTTACCAACAATTCCAGGGTGTCATCATTCCTTTTGCTGTCATTTTTCTTTCTGTGAACACTCTGAGTCAAATAAATATTACCACTGGTTTGATTCACAGAAAAGAATGGAGAAGTTTTTAGCAGGGAGTAATTAACAATTCCGTCCAGTCCACCATCATTGTCTGATGCTGTCACTCTGCCAAGCAACTGGCCTGCTTCATTCTTCTCAGGGAGATTGAAGAAATACTGATCTTGTGTAAACGCTGGGTCATATTCATCTGTCCCCTCAATATCTACCTGAACTGTAACAGTCGCCAGTAAGTCACCTTTGTCTTTTGCTTGGATTATGAGACAGTATCTATTCTGACTTTCATAGTCAAACACTTGCTTTGTATGAATATCTCCCATCAAAGGATCAATGAAGAACATGTCATGGTCTCTAGGGGCTTCACGATGAGCCAAACATGAAGACTGGATGGAGTAGGTAAGGTGTCCGTAGGAGCCTTTATCAAAATCCAGTGCATTAACAGCACACACAAAAGAAAAGATGGGCAGATTTTCACTAACAGTGCAGCTCAGGCTGGGAAACAAGAACAGGGGTGCATAATCGTTGTCATCTAGGATGCAAACTACAACAACAGAAAAGGCCACATTTTTTACATCAGCTCCTCCATCTATGGCTTGGATGATCAAAGTGAATTTCATGGTATCCTCATAATCCAGCGTTTTCATCAAATCCACTGATCCTGTTTTCCCATTCAAGCGAAAATGTCCCCTGTCATTCCCAGAGATGACAGCATAAGTGATCTCTGCATTAGTGCCTGCATCGCGGTCATTTGCTGAAACCTCAGTGACATGACTACCTACAGGGATGCTTTCTTTCACACGAATATGGTACTCTGGGCTTCTAAATACTGGAGGATTGTCATTAACATCCAGCACAGTTATTAGCACAGTAGCAGTTGAATTCAAGGAGGGTGTTCCATGATCAGAGGCAAGGAGAACCAAACAGTGAGAAGAAGTTGTTTCCCTGTCGAGAATATTGCTCAAAACAAGACTGCCAACAAGTCTGAAGGATGTATCTGACTTCACGACACTTGTTTCCACGGAGAATAAATTCTCAGCATTGCCATCAATAATAGAGTACTCAACATACGTGTTTTCACGAGTCCAGTCATAGTCGATGGCTGAAAACGTGAGGAGACTTTCTCCAACTGAGGCATCCTCACTCACGCTGAGATTGTACAGAACCCTTGTGAACTGAGGGGCATAGTTATTTACATCTTCTACATGCACTTCTACAGAGGTGACTGCACTCAGAGGGGGACTGCCACCATCCGTGGCTTCTATCAGGAGCTGAATATTGGAAATATTTTCCAGCTGTGTCACTGGTCCTGTAGTGAACACTGAACCTGAAAATAAAACAGAATTAACAAAAGCCCACACTTCATACTCACTACGGCAAGTGAATGTTATTTCAAAAGCTGAATCTAGTCAATTGAATTTGAAAGTGACCCAACTATAATGGCTGCACACCCCAAAGTAACTCTCTCATATCCAGAGAGCAGTGGGTCAACAGGTCAATGTCAGGATGGAGATTGGTGAGAAGTGGTGTCCTTCAGAGGTATGTACTGGGACCAGTACTGTTTAGTATCTTATCAGTGACATGAACAGCGAGATTGAGTGTACCCTCAGCAAGTTTGCAGATGACACCAAGCTGAGTGGTGCAGTTGACACACCTGAGGGATGGGATGCCATGCAGAGGGACACTGGACAAGCTCGAGAAGTGGGCCCATGTGAACTTCATGTGGTTCAACAAGGCCAGGTGCAAGGTCCTGCACATGGGTCAGGGCAATCCCCAGTATCAACACAGGCTGGGGAATGAACAGGTTGAGAGCAGCCGAAAAGGACTTGGGGCTACTGGTGGATGAAAAGCTGGACGTGAGCCAACAATGTGTGCTCACAGCCCAGAAGGCCAAGCGTATCCTGGCTTGTATCACAAGCAGCGTGGCCAGCAGGGTGAGGGAGGGGATTCTGCCCCTCTACTGCGCTCTGGTGAGACCCAACCTGGAGTCCTGCGTCCAGCTCTGGAGCCTTCAGCACAGGACAGACATGGAGCTGTTGGAGGAGGTCCAGAGGAGGGCCACAAAAATGATCAGAAGGATGGAACATCTCTCCGGTGAGGACAGGCTGAGAGAGTTGGGGCTGCTCAGCCTGGAGGACAGAAGGCTCTGGGGAGACCTTACTGTGTCCTTTCAATACAGAAAGGGGGCTTATAAGATGGGAACAGGCTTTTCATTAGGGCCTGTTGCAACAGGACAAGTGGTAATGGTTTTAAACTAAAAGAGGGTAGATTTGGACTGGACATACGGAAGAAATTTTTTACAATGAGGGTGGTGAAACACTGGAACAGGTTGCCCAGATATGTGGTAGATGGCCCATCCCTGGAAATGTTCAAGGCCAGGTTGGATGGGGCTGTGAGCAACCTGATCTAGTTGAAGATGTCCCTGCTCATTGGCACACACAAAAGAAAAGATGGGCAGATTTTCACTAACAGTGCAGCTCAGGCTGGGAAACAAGAACAGGGGTGCATAATCGTTGTCATCTAGGATGCAAACTACAACAACAGAAAAGGCCACATTTTTTACATCAGCTCCTCCATCTATGGCTTGGATGATCAAAGTGAATTTCATGGTATCCTCATAATCCAGCGTTTTCATCAAATCCACTGATCCTGTTTTCCCATTCAAGCGAAAATGTCCCCTGTCATTCCCAGAGATGACAGCATAAGTGATCTCTGCATTAGTGCCTGCATCGCGGTCATTTGCTGAAACCTCAGTGACATGACTACCTACAGGGATGCTTTCTTTCACACGAATATGGTACTCTGGGCTTCTAAATACTGGAGGATTGTCATTAACATCCAGCACAGTTATTAGCACAGTAGCAGTTGAATTCAAGGAGGGTGTTCCATGATCAGAGGCAAGGAGAACCAAACAGTGAGAAGAAGTTGTTTCCCTGTCGAGAATATTGCTCAAAACAAGACTGCCAACAAGTCTGAAGGATGTATCTGACTTCACGACACTTGTTTCCACGGAGAATAAATTCTCAGCATTGCCATCAATAATAGAGTACTCAACATACGTGTTTTCACGAGTCCAGTCATAGTCGATGGCTGAAAACGTGAGGAGACTTTCTCCAACTGAGGCATCCTCACTCACGCTGAGATTGTACAGAACCCTTGTGAACTGAGGGGCATAGTTATTTACATCTTCTACATGCACTTCTACAGAGGTGACTGCACTCAGAGGGGGACTGCCACCATCCGTGGCTTCTATCAGGAGCTGAATATTGGAAATATTTTCCAGCTGTGTCACTGGTCCTGTAGTGAACACTGAACCTGAAAATAAAACAGAATTAACAAAAGCCCACACTTCATACTCACTACGGCAAGTGAATGTTATTTCAAAAGCTGAATCTAGTCAATTGAATTTGAAAGTGACCCAACTATAATGGCTGCACACCCCAAAGTAACTCTCTCATATCCAGAGAGCAGTGGGTCAACAGGTCAATGTCAGGATGGAGATTGGTGAGAAGTGGTGTCCTTCAGAGGTATGTACTGGGACCAGTACTGTTTAGTATCTTATCAGTGACATGAACAGCGAGATTGAGTGTACCCTCAGCAAGTTTGCAGATGACACCAAGCTGAGTGGTGCAGTTGACACACCTGAGGGATGGGATGCCATGCAGAGGGACACTGGACAAGCTCGAGAAGTGGGCCCATGTGAACTTCATGTGGTTCAACAAGGCCAGGTGCAAGGTCCTGCACATGGGTCAGGGCAATCCCCAGTATCAACACAGGCTGGGGAATGAACAGGTTGAGAGCAGCCGAAAAGGACTTGGGGCTACTGGTGGATGAAAAGCTGGACGTGAGCCAACAATGTGTGCTCACAGCCCAGAAGGCCAAGCGTATCCTGGCTTGTATCACAAGCAGCGTGGCCAGCAGGGTGAGGGAGGGGATTCTGCCCCTCTACTGCGCTCTGGTGAGACCCAACCTGGAGTCCTGCGTCCAGCTCTGGAGCCTTCAGCACAGGACAGACATGGAGCTGTTGGAGGAGGTCCAGAGGAGGGCCACAAAAATGATCAGAAGGATGGAACATCTCTCCGGTGAGGACAGGCTGAGAGAGTTGGGGCTGCTCAGCCTGGAGGACAGAAGGCTCTGGGGAGATCTTACTGTGTCCTTTCAATACAGAAAGGGGGCTTATAAGATGGGAACAGGCTTTTCATTAGGGCCTGTTGCAACAGGACAAGTGGTAATGGTTTTAAACTAAAAGAGGGTAGATTTGGACTGGACATACGGAAGAAATTTTTTACAATGAGGGTGGTGAAACACTGGAACAGGTTGCCCAGATATGTGGTAGATGGCCCATCCCTGGAAATGTTCAAGGCCAGGTTGGATGGGGCTGTGAGCAACCTGATCTAGTTGAAGATGTCCCTGCTCATTGCAGGGCACGTGGACTAGATGACCTTTCAAGTCCCTCCCAACCCAAACTATTTTATGATTCTAAGAAATAATTACTAACGCTGCAAAGCCGGGGCCTACCCACAACGTTGCAGTATTAAATACTCATACTGCATTTAGACCAAAAAACATATCTTCCCAGTAATATGCTGAACATACAAACTGCTTAAAATAAAAGGCAAAACAAACCTAAGGAAATATAGGCTCCTAATTAGAGGTGGTTATGCTGTGCGAGTTCATTACTGAAGGTCATTAGTTCTCCTGTTTTGCTTGCAATCCAGTAGCAATATTATGGGCACGTTTGTTATCTAGATAGGTTTGCCACCAAGTTATGTAAACATGTTTGATTCAAATTGCTTATCTAAACATGGGGGTTGAACTAGATGATCTTGAAAGGTCCCTTCCAACCCAAACCATTCAATGACTATGTTCACAAGCCATCTACTTCTACTTCACTCTTCATGGTGTATAGCTAAGCACCACAGAGACAACACTGTGGGACAATTTTGTGATCACAGTTGCAAACAGCCATTCACCAAACATAAAGACAGGTTGGTGAATGCAGAATAACAAATGGGTAAAACAGAAAACAGCTTTATCTAGGCAAGACCTTTGCATATTCAGTGCTTGTAACCATCATCCAACAAACACTGCATTCAAAAATACATCTCATGTAAAGACCTGGTAACAGCAAATAAGCAGTAAGAACTTACACACTGAACAGTAGTTGCACATCCTTTTTGCAATGTCTAGTAGTCTCTGGAGTTGATATTCCCCAAAATATTATGTACAAATGCATACAGAGACACACACACAGTTTTCCACCTCCCAGAGCATTATAACATTACGTCAGAAAATTTAAATTGGTAAATCTTTTAACTGTTGAAGAAAATTATGTACTTTGGAGACAGTGTTCTCAACGTAGAAAACTTCCAAATTCCATTTAGGATTACAGGATAACATAAGCTCTCTTAAAAAGCAATCTTAAAAACATACTGTCCAAGCTGTAGAGAAGGTCCATTACATAGGTTCAACTTATACTGAAAAATAATAAGTATGAACTTAAATTGAATGAAATCTAGTACATAAGCTGAAATGTTACGAATCCAAGCAAAATGTACAGCAACTTTTCTATCAAATCACATCAGAGGAATAACACCCACAGGATGTTGTGTTGAGCTGCCTTATGCATGGTTCAGGGACAAACTGAGAACTCCAGTCTTTGATGCAATTGGTTCTTTATCGATAATGACAGATTTAGCAAAAACATATAGTGGACTTTGGCCATCAAATATTTCCATAACTCAAGTGATCACTGGCAATAGATGAGGAAGTGCAATAGGACTCTCCAATTTATACTGAAAAAGCTGAAATAATAAACCATGCTTACAGACTCACCATTCTTGTGATCAATGGAAAATCCCTCAGAGGAAGAGAGGATTTTGTAGGAAATCATTCCATTATGCTCCAAATCCCTATCCACAGCAGAGACTGTCAGAACAGTGGCATCCATAGAAATGAGCTCTGGTAAGCTCACCTGACATATAAAGCAAAATTACAGTTTTGATAGAGCTTAATAAAAGACTTTGAACATTAAAAAAACACATATTTTCCTTCATTTGATCTTATTAGAAAAAAAAAGAAACACAGTTCCCAGCTTTGGAAAAAGTTTCACCTATCTGTTTTCTTCTGGGACAAAATATAGAGAGCTGAGATACTGAAAATGATGCATACAATACAGTCAAAATTTATAGTAAACTTTAAACAGTAGCAAAATCCATCTAGTTCATTACGACAACTAGTTCAGACAATCACTGAATCTCTTTTTTCAATAGTATACTAATGGAAGGAATACCTACAATGGACTGCAACTAAAATTGGCTTTTCTCTCTACTTTCAGAAACACCTTGATTTTTCTACATGGAATACAGTCTGCAGTCCCTGTCTGGAGTATATGATTGAGCATTAAAAAACCCAACACATGTACCCTGAAAATTCCAGAACCAGAGCACTTAATCATCACTGGATTATTCCTAGAATTTAGTTTTTCAAAATGCTCCCTTTTTTCTTCATATAATCTAGGAAACCAGGAAAGTTCTTTCCCTTCTTTAGAGCTTCCATTATTTGAAGTCCAGATACAGTACTTTCGTGACCAAAGTTTCCTTCCACTTTATAAATCCAATTTTCAAATAAACAGTATGATACAGCAGCTGCCTTCGTCACCAAGTGTTAGTTTAAATCATTTTAACAGAGTGACTGTATATAAAAGTTGTATATATATCTATATATGAAAAGTATAAATATGAAAACATTTCAAGGACAACAAAAGGAGGGAGTTGACAGATGTCATTGCTGAGCCACTCTCTATCATCTTTGAAAGGTCCTGGAGGACAGGAGAGGTGCCCAAGGACTGGAGGAAAGACAATGTCACTCCAGTCTTCAAAAAGGGTAAGAAGGAGGACCCAAGGAACTACAGGCCGGTCAGCCTCACCTCCATCCTGGGAAAGATGATGGAACAGCTCATTCTGGAGGTCATCATTAAGCAAGTGGAGAGGAAGAAGATTATAAGGAGTAGTCAACATGGATTCACGAAGGGGAAATCACGCTTGACCAATCTGATAGCCTTCTACGATGGCATGACCGGCTGGGTAGATGAGGGGAGAGCAGTGGTGGATGTTGTCTACCTAGACTTCAGCAAGGCTTTCAACACTGTCTCCCATCACATCCTAATAGGCAAGCTCACGAAGTGTGAGCTGGATGAGTGGATAGTGAGGTGGATTGAGAACTGGCTGAATGGCAGAGCTCAGAGGGTTGTCATCAGCGGCGCTGAGTCTAGTTGGAGGCTGGTAACTAGCGGGGTTCCTCAGGGGTCAGTAGTCAGTCCAGTCTTGTTCAACTTTTTCATCAATGATCTGGATGAAGAGTTAGAGTGTACCCTCAGCAAGTTTGCTGATGACACAAAACTGGGAGGAGTGGCTGATACACTGGAAGGCTGCATTGCCATTCAGCGTGACCTGGACAGGCTGGAAAGTTGGGCGGAGAGGAACCTGATGAAGTTCAACAAGGGCAAGTGCAGGGTCCTGCACCTGGGGAGAAACAACCCCATGCATCAATACAGGCTTGGGGGGGACCTGCTGGAGAGCAGCTCTGTGGAGAGGGACCTGGGCGTCCTGGTGGACGACAGGGTAACCATGAGCCAGCAGTGCGCCCTGGCTGCCAAGAAAGCCAATGGGATCCTGGGGCGCATCAAGAAGAGTGTGGCCA